GGTCGGCGGATCTTGGCCTCTTCGGACCTTCCTGGAGGCCCTCTTGGAAGCCTCTTGGGCAGTCTTGGAACCTCTTGGAGGCCGTCTTGGGACATCTTGGAGCCGTCTTGGTGGGCTCCTGGCCCGTCTGACGCCGTCGGAAGCCGTCTGGGGTGCCTCTCTGGGCTGACTTAGGGCCCTCTTGGCGTACTCCAGGACAGTCTTGGAGGCCATCTTGGGCGTCTTGGAGGCCTCTTGGGCAATCTTGGGGCCCTCTTTGGGCAGTCTTGGGGGCATCTTGGGCCGTTCTGGGGCCGTCTTGGAGGCCTCTTGGGCGATCTTGGGGCGATCTTTGGGGGCTCTTGGGCCGTCTCGGGCCGCTGGAAGACCAAAAAGACGCAAATGCCAAAATCCTTCAAAAAAACAAATGGGAAATCAACAATGTTGGCCTCTTCGGGCCTTCCTGGAGGACCTGTTTAAGGCCTCTTGGGCCGTCTTGGAGGCCTCTTGGGGGCGTCTCGGAGCGTCTTGGGCCATCCTGGAGCCAGCTTGGACCATATTGGGCGAACTTAGAGGCCACCTCGGGCCATCTGAGCCGTCTTAGAAGCCACCTTGGGCCATCTTGGAACGGGAGAGGCATGGACAGATACATGTTGCGGTCCTTCCTGGGTGGCCGGCAGGACGGGCCGAAGCCCCAGCCGATCTTTGGTCTTCGAGGCCGAAGCCCCGAAGACCAAAGACCGTAGGATCTGGCACGCCAGGCACCTTTGTGACAAGCACAGGGGGGCGGCGGATCGAAGACGCCTACGGCGAATCACCGCCGCCCCCTGCCTTTTTGGGAGCGCTTGTGTGGCCGAACGTCGAGGCCAGACCTGCCAAGCTATCGGACCGTGTGCTCCCCGAATCGGTTTGGAAAGCCTTCGGGGAACACGTGGGCATCTTGGAGGTCATCTTGGCCGCCTGGAGGCCATTTTGACCCTTTCGGGCCTTCTTGGAGCACGTCTTGGACGGCTCTTGGGCCGTCTTGGAGACCTCTTCGGCCGTCTTGGGGGCCTCTTGGGGCCGTCTTGGGCCTCTTGGGCGATCTCTGGGGGCACTCGGGCCGTCTCGGGCAGTCGGAAGGCCGAAAAGAAGCAAATGCCACAATCCTTGGAAACCTCATGGGGAATCAATGATTTTGGCCTTTTCTGGCCTTCCTGGAGGCCCTCTTGGAGGCCTCTTGGGCAGTCTTGGGCCATCTCAGTGCCATCTTCGGCCGTCTTGGTGGGCCCCTGGCCCGTCCGCTTCCGTCGGAAGCCGTGTGGGTTGCCTCTCTGAGCCGACTTGGGACTTGGGCGTCTTAAAAGCCTCCTGGGCCGTCTTGGAGGCCTCTTGGGGCCATCTTGGGGGCCTTTTGGGCCGTTCTGGGGCCATCTTGGAGGCCTCTTGGGCGATCTTTGGGGGCTTTTGGGCCGTATCGGGCCGTCGGAAGGTCGAAACGAAGCAATTGTTAAAATCCTTCGAAAACCTACGGATCATGAGTATTGTTGGCCTCTTCTGGCCTTCCTGGAGGCCCTCTTGGAGGCCTCTTGGGTCGTCTTGGGCCAGCTTCGAACCAACTTCGGCCATCTTGGTGGGCTCCTGGCCCGTCTGACGCCGTCGGAAGCAGTGAAGCAGTTTGGAAGGCCTTTCTGGGCCGACTTGGGGCCCTCTTGGGGTGCTCCAGGGCCGTCTTAGAGGCCATCTTGGGCGTCTTGGAGGCCTCTTGGGTCGTCTGTGTGCCCTCTTGGGGCCGTCTTGGGGGCATCTTGGGCAGTCCTCAGGCCATCTTGGAGGCCTCTTGGGCGCTGTGGGGGCGATCTCGGGGGCCTCTTGGGCCGTCTTGGGTCGTCGGAAAGCCGAGAAGAAGCGAATGCCAAAATCTTTCAAAAACCTACGGAAAATCTATGGGGGGTGCGCAGGGTGTGGTCTCTCACCGCGGCGTCTATGCGTGCCAGGGTCGGAGAGCGTGACAGGCGTGGCACTTTCTCGACACCAGGGGGGGTGCGTAGGGGGTGGTCTCTCACCGCGGCCCCTATGCGTGCCAGGGTCGGAGAGCGTGGCAGGCGTGGCATTTTTCTCGACACCAGAGGGGGTGCGCAGGGGGTGGTCTCCCTATGCGTGCCAGGGTTGTCCAGGCATTGCAGGCGTGGCATTTTCTCCACACCAGAAGGGGTGCGCAGGGGGTGGTCTCCCTATGCGTGCCAGGGTCGTCCAGGCATAGCCTCTAGTGCGGGATTGCGTATTACCTCTCGCATCCAAGTGCCAGGCGACGCCGGATATGACCGTCACAGATGACTCCTCAACCCCTCCTCTCCCCCCACACGCCCTCCCCCTCCTTTCAACGACCACAGGGGGCACCTGAGAGCATGACGGCGGTGGTAGTGGTAGCGCGGTTCACACAAGACATCAAATCAGTATGTGGGGTTCCTCGGTAGCGTAATTCGGCGTTCACGGCGTTGACGACGGCCCAAGAGGTCCCCGAGACCGCCCCAAGACGGCCCAAGAGGCTCCCAAGAGGCCCAGAAAATTGCCCAAGAGGGCCCCAAAACGGCCCCAGAGGCGCCCAAGACGGCCCCAAGAGGAGGACCACGAACCGAAAAGTCCTCAGCTTTTCGCCCCAAGAAGCCCCCAGGAGGCCCCAAGAGCCCCCCAAGAAGCTCCAAGAGGCCCCCAAGAGGCGTCCCAAGAGGCTTCCAGGAGGCCAAAATCATTGATTTCTTACCAGGAAACGCACATGTTTAGCATATGCGGCTTTTCGGCTTTCACGGAGTTGAAGATGGTCCGAGAGGCCCCCAAGTTCGACCCAAGACGGCCCAAGAGGGTCCCAAGAGGCCGCCAAAACGGCCCAAGAGGACCCCAAGACGGCCCAAGAGGGGTTCAAGACGGCCCAAGAGGGGCTCAAGACGGCCGCAAGAGGGAGACCACGAACCGAAAAGTCTAGCAGTTCGCCCCTAGAAGCTCCCAGGAGGCCCCAGGAGCCCCCTAAGAAGCCCCAAGAGGCCCCCAAGAGGCCCCCAGGAGATCCCAAGGGGCCCCCAAGAGCCCGAAAAGAAGCCCTCAAACGGCCCACAAGTTCTTGACACCAAGGCCCAGCCAAGGCTCAGAATCTCTGAACACCAAGGCCCCCAAGAGGCCCCCAAGATGCCCCAAGAGGCTCCCAAGAGGCCCACAAGAGGTCCCAAAACGGCACATCAGAGACTTCGACACTGGCTCCATCAGGCCCGCCCCAAGAAGTTCCCAGGAGGCCCCACGAGGCCCCCAAGAAGCCTGCAGAGATCCCCAAGAGGCCCCCAAGAGGCCCGAAGAGGTTCTTAAGAGACCCAAAAGGGCGACGATGATGGTAATGCTGGAGATGATCATGATGATGGTCATGCTGGTTCTGAGCCTCGACGGGTTCATTCCCAAGTGTGTTTTCTGAGCCGCGTCTTTTCCTGATGCGTACTCCATGCGCCAGGTCTGGCAACTAGCGCTGGTGTCACTGGAACAACGATGTCCCACCTGTGATCTCAACATTGGACGGCGTCCTAAAATTTGTCAAAACCGCGGCTCCCAAGAACAAGAGGTTTCGCAACCAGCTCTTCACACCAAGGCTTCAAGAGCGAACGCTGCCATGAACGATTTCGGGTCATTTTTTTGAAGCGCTCTTTCCGTTTCTGCGCCGGGCCAGGTCTAGTGGCCTTCGGCCCATCCCGCCTCCGTGCCCGGGTTGTGGGTTAGAGGCCTCTTGGTTGTTCGTTTGGATACCGTGGGAGGCCTTTCGGGGGCCTCAAGAAGGCAGTTTTGAGGCCTCTTGGGGGCCGTTCGGGGCCTTTTGGGGTCTCTTTTTTGGCCTCTTGGGGGCCTCGTGGAAGGCCTCTTGGGGGGGGGGCCTCTTGGGGCCGGCCGCCTCTTCGGGCGGAACGCTCGAATTGTCGGTTCGTGTCCCCCCTCTTGGAGCTTTCTTGGGCGATCTTGGGCGCCTCTTGGGCAGTTTGGGGGCACTCTTGGACCGTCTTGGGGCGGTCTTGGAGGCTTCTTGAGCCGTCTTGGGGCGGTCTTGGGGGCCTCTGGGGCCATCTTGGAGCGTCGGAAGCCGAAAACGCAAGAACGCGAAAAACATAGAAAAGCGCAGGAAATCGATGATTTGTCCCTCTTTGGGCCCTCTTGGGAGTCCTCTTGGAGCGCTCTTGGGGCTTCTTTGGAACCCTGGGCCGTCTCGGGGCCATCTTGGGCGTCTTGGAGCGCTTTTGGGCTGTCTTGGAGGCCTCGTGGACCCTCTTGGGCGCTTTCTGGGGCCTTCTTGGTCCGTCTTGGGGCCCTCTGGCCTCTGGAGAAGTCACCCGGGGCAGCCCAAGAATGCGCGGGAACGCCCAGGAAGCGTGGGGGAATTTGGGGTCCCGCCCTTTAGAATACTATAATCCCAGAGTCTTGAATACAGAGAACAACACATGAGAGACTGGGGGTAACTTCACTTCGTGCCTCGAGGCACCGTGGCGGATATGTATATGCATGCGTATATATGTACGTATGTTTGTGCATGTCTCGCTGAAGTCGTCTTGAGATCCTTCGTTCGAAGGGACGTGTTTTGGTTGGGTGGTGGAATGCAGTGGTGACACAGTCGTATGCTTCTGCCAGATCTGCTTCGTACCCAGATATCTGGCGATGTTACGTTCTCAAGTCGCAGCGCCAGAGGTCCCGACCTGTTCGTCCTGGACCCATGCTAGATGGCCCCGACCCCACGAGCCGAAATTGAGGACGAACGCCCGGACCGAACAAATAACAAAGACAAAAAGCCATAAACATAAACAGTTGGCGCTCCGCGCGGATTTCTTGGATCCGCGCTGGGCCCCCCGGCTGCGCCTCCAGCGCCGCCCTTGGCGCGCTCCTCCAAGGAATCCGCGCGGAGCCCCGCAAGTTTACGTTTACGCCGTTCTTCTTCTTTTCTTCTAACAGACAAATAAAAACAATGACTGTCGGAGATCTAGGTGTCTCGCGTGCCTACCGTGCCTCGCCCCTCCCAGGCGGCCGCGGGCCCGAACCCGCACTTCATGAGCCCCGTGCCGCTGGAGTGGGACGACGAGGGCGAGCAGGGCCGCCGCGCTGAGGGCCTCCCTCCCCCTCCTCCTCGCTCCTCCTCCTCCTCCTCCCCCTCCTCCTCCTCCTCCTCCTCCTCCTCCTCCTCCTCCTCCTCCTCCTCCTCCTCCTCCTCCCTCGCCGCGGAGCCGCGTGCTCACGTGTGTGCCCAAGGGTGGCTTGCCGTGCACGAGCTCGTAGACGCATGTGCCGAAGGAATGCACGTCAGCCTCCACTCGAAGAATGAAAACACCAGAAACGTAAACCGTTTGTTCGCTCCGCGCGGAGCGCCAAAAGTTCATGTTTATGGTGTTTTTTCTTTCTCTATTCTCGTCCTACGGCTGCCCCTCCGATACCGCGGGCGCGATGCCGTGGGGCGCGCCGACCACCGTGCCGGCCATGGCCAGGGGTCCCCAGGCACCCCGCCCTCGCGTCGTGAGACAAGTGCGAGGGGGAGGCTGTTTCCTGTTTTCGGCCTCTCGGGGCTCTCGCCGGGCCCCGGACCGTCAAACACAACGACTCAGCTGTGAGTTCGATCATGGAGCCCTCGCTCAACGCGATCATCCAGCTTTCGCACCGCAGACCCGCTGGGAACCACCCGAAACCGCCGAAGACCGTCCGAAGACAGCCGAAGACCGCCGAGAACTGTCCGAAGACCGCCGAAGACGGCCCATGAGCGAGAAGTGACAAGGCCGCCGTTTTCTTATTCATTGTTCTGCCGATCGGCGCGGGCCTTCCCCCCCCCCCCTCCCGTGGGGTATATCTTGGCTGTTTTGGGCGCCTTTTTCGAGCAGGTGGAGTCTCCCCCCATGGGACATACAGCTGCAAACAGTCGCATTATGCAGAGGTCCAGAGCCAGACACCCCCCCTTTTCGGCCCAATGTCGAAACGCCGAGCAAGAAAGCGTTCACCAGGGGTCCATCGGCGAACACATCAGCTTAGAATGATTGGTCCCAGGGGAGATCGGGGTCAGGGTCCCTGCTCCCCAGAGGTCCCCCGCCGCGTCCTGCCTCGAGTGGGCCCCAGGGGCCGTGAGCGGGCATCTCACGGTGAGCAGCCGTTCTTTGGGAGAGGGCCCCCGGTGTCCATGGGACCCGTTCCGTGCATTCCAACTTCCGTCGCCCCTTTCCACCTCCTCATCCTTCTCTTCCTCCCTCCCAGTCGCCCTCCTCCTCCTTCCCTCTCCCAGCCTCCTCGTTCAGGGAGCCAGCGCAGGAAGCCGATAAGCCAGGGTTTCCTCATCCCTCCCTTCCTCCCTCATCTTTCTCCTCACTCCTCCTCCTCCTCCTCCTCACTCCTCCTCCTCCTCCTCCTCCTCCTCCTCCTCCTCCTCCTCCTCCTCCTCCGCCTCCTCCCTCCCTCCCGCCTCCCTCCCTCCCTCCCTCCCTCCCTCCCTCCCTCCCTCCCTCTCTCCCTCCTCCCTCCCTCCCTCTCTCCCTCCTCACTCCCTCCCACCTCCCTCCCTCCCTCCCTTCCTCCTCACTCCCTCCCACCCTGCCGCCCCCGCACCCTCCTCTGCGATCGGAACGGTTGGTTCTTCTGCGACAGTATGACGGGGAGAGGGTTCACGACAAAAGGCACAATGTTCACCAATCAACATTTGCACACTTGCATTGAAGGGGTTCCAGCCGATGTCGAAGGAATTAGCGAAACTACCCGGCCGCGATTTCGGTGCACGCCCGGGTTCCCAGGTCCGGGGCTTTCACGTTCGTCGTCGCGTGCTTGCTCCCCATCTCCCTTCTTTCACCCCCCTTCGTCTGGCCAAGGAGCACAGGCTGCTGGGAGCCTACGGCGATGCCCGCCGGTCGTCGGCGATTGGCCTCGGCGGGCAGGGACGCACCTGCTCAGCCACTGGAAGGTTTCGGCCGCTGCGGCTCCCCGCCAGGTGGCCGACTGCCCCGTGGGGGCCTCGGCGACGGCCCCTGGAGCGGGGGGTTCTTGACTCACCCTCAAACTCGGAGGTCTAGGTGGTTCTGAAGTCGGCCTCCTCTCTCGTCAAGGGTGTCCATCGCCGCCGGCACCGCGCCACCGCCCGACCTGCTTAGTGTGTGGCGGCGCGGGGCGCGGGCGCAAGCAGAGGAGCTGCGGCTGGGAGCGCGCCGGCAGGCCGCCCCTGCAAGTCGCAGACGGACCGGTGCTGCGCGACTCGCGTTCCCTGGGGGACTGCGCCACCAGCGTCGCTGGAGAGGCTCCCGGTGGCACGCAGCCAGCCACCCGCGGGGGCGCCGATAGACAGCCGCCTCGAGCGCGGCCCTCGCGCCCAGGGCCGGCGCTGCGCCGCACGACGAGCGTCGTCGGCTTCGTCGCTCGCCCCGGCCGCCGGCCGCCCCCAGCAAGCTTTGGTCCCGGGCGCTCCAGACACCGCCTCGGTGGCCCGCTTTCTACTTTTTTGTGTTTGTTTGTTTTTGTTTTTTTTTCTCTCTCTCTCTCTCTCTCTCTCTGTCGAGGCCGCCCCGAACTGTACCATGGGGTCTCTGCTGAGGTCGTCCGCCTCGACACGGCCTCCCCGTCCGCCCCTCGCCCCTGGGCCACCCCGCGCAGGCGACATGGCGCTGCAGTGCACCGTGATGGGCCAGCGGGCGCTGGGGCTGCAGGAGGAGGCCAGGCGGGGGCGAGAAACGCCCAAGCCGTGCGACTGGATGGTCTGACAGCTCTTTGTGAGAGCGCCGACCCACAGCAGTGTGACCGTGCAGCTCTCGAGGACGAGCAGGATCGCGTCGGATATCCTTCCATCCTTCGGCTTCGAGGCGGCGGGTCGGATCCTTCTCGCGTGCGCTTGCGGCAGGCACCATGCCGGTTCTGGCGAGATCTCCCAAAGGTCTTGCAGGGGTCCGGGATCCCCATTATGTGTTGATGATTGGTTGTCTGGGTATTGCTATGAGATCATGCAATTTCCTGGCGCAGGGGAGGAGGGAGGGAGGGGGCTCGCCGCGGGGGCTCTTGCAGTTTGAGTGGTCTGCCTCCTGTCAGGGCAGGAGGAGAAAGAGAAGGCGGGGGGGGCCCAGCCCCCCGACGTCATGAATGTTCAGGACGTGCCCCCCCCCCGCCCCCCGCCCAGCGGTCTGGACCCAGTCCCGAGCCGTTATTTGACGGTCCCGAGGGCCGCAAAGGGCCCCCCAGAGGCCGAACATGGTGTCCTGAGGGATGGGGTCCCAAGCATAGGAAGGGATCCAAGGGAAAATTCACATTGTTTAAGGCACCTCGTTTTTAGGACCCCATCCCTCAGGACCCCCCCTTTGAACCACCGAGAAGACAGCGAAAGAGACCTCCCGCCGTGGTGTTTGCATGACCCGAGGGGTTCCGAGGACTGGGTGGCCGCGCGGCCCGCAGCGCCTCCCCGCAGGGGCCTCCAGCGGGCGATGGACTCAAACCCTGGACATTTGCTGGTGGGCTTGTTTTTCACCGCCACCACCATAAGTAGGAGGGGAAGGGGGTCCTCCTCCTCCTCCTCCTCCTCCTCCTCCTCCTCCTCCTCCTCCTCCTCCTCCTCCTCCCCCTCCTCCTCGTCCTCCTCCTCCTCTTCCTCATCCTCCTCATCCTCCACCTCCTTCCCCCCTCCAACTGAAGGTGGTAACTAGTGGTGGAAGACAGGCTCATCAATAGCCAGCCCTGGAGATATGCCTGGACCTGGCGATCGGCGCCGACGCCGACGACGACGGACTACGACGACGACGACGACGACGACGACGAGAGGGGGTCTGGGGAGGGAGCCCGGCAGCGCCTGGATGACCAGACTTGCCGCGGCATTGCTCACCGGGCGCGTTCCACTACTCGCAGAGTGCCTACTTGCAAGCGTCCGGCCAAGGCTGCGCGCCGCAGGGCGGCGCGCCCTTGCCGGCCTCGCCCGCCGCGCGCGCGCTTGCTCTGCGCATTGGCCCGCCCTGCGGTCTGCCCCTCTCGGCGGCAACACGCATCACCGTAATTACAGTGGAGGCCTATGCCAAGAAACACCCTGCCTGCCTCGAGGGTGCACTGGGTTTCTTGGCTTTCGATGGTTTTTGAGATGGAAAGCGTGACGTGCCCACAGCAACATCTATGGAAATCCTGGGGTCTCAGGGTTGGGTTTCTTCTGGAAGATGTCTTGTCGTCGGGCCCCTACGGTACTCGCGAACGTCCGAACAAAAAGCATGTCTACCTGCATGTAGTGGACCGTACGTACCCCGCGGCGGATCCAGGCCATTTGCGAGTAGTTATTCTGCGAGCAGTGGAACGCTCTTGTCTAATCTCGGCGGCAAGACGCGTCACCGAGCGTGTCCCACTACTCGAAAATTGCCTACTCGCAAACGTCCGAAAACACAGAGTTGCCCCGACGTAATGGATCGTAGACCCCCGCGGCGGATTCAGACTATTTGCAAGCAGCTACTATGCGAGTAGCGGAACGCGCCTGTCTACGAAGGGCCGGAAAAGCGAGGGGTGCGGGGGGAGGGAGTAGGAAACGATGAGGAGGAGGAGGAGGAGGAGGAGGAGGAGGAGGAGGAGGAGGAGGAGGAGGAGGAGGAGGGAGGGAGGAGGGAGGGAGGGAGGGAGGGAGGGAGGCAGGGAAGAAGGCGGATGAGGAGGGAGGAGGAGGATGAGGAGAGGAGAAGCACCAGCAGGGGCAATAAGAGGAGGAGGAGGAGCAGGCGGCTGAAGAAATGCGCGAAGGTAGTTTGGTCGACGGGTGTAGGATATGTTTGAGCAGCCTCCAGGCGGTGGCCGAGCTGGCAGAGATGGTGCCACAGGCCAGTCTTTACTTCCCCTCCTCATCCCCCGACATCGTCCTCCTCCTCCTCCTCCTCCTCTCCTCCTCCTCCTCCTCCTCCTCCTCCTCCTCCTCCTCCTCCTCCTCCTCCTCCTCCTCCTCCTCCTCCTCCTCCCTCCCCTGTCTCTTCATCCAGCTTCTCCACTCCTCCTGCTCAGCCACCGCCTCCATGTGTTCTGCTCCCTCTACCACCCTGGCACCACTTGCCAACACCCCGCTTCCCACTCCCTCCACCGCTTCCCCCCCCCTCCCTCCCCCCCATCACCCCTGCTGTCTCCCCCTCCCCCCCGCGGGCTGCTCCGGCATCGTGGCCAGTTGTTCGTTCGGTTGTTGCGCGTGTGTGCTTCTTGCTCTGACTCGCTCGTGGTTGCCACGTCGTTCCAGACCGCCGTGGCTCGGGAGCTCCATGTCGGCGAACTCGGGGTCTCGGCGCACGGGGTGGCAGCCTCGGTCGTGGTACGCACGGCCTAGGCCGCACGAAGGCTCGCGAGGGCGGTCGAGGCCGACCTCTGTTGCGGCGTGGCGTTCGACGGCAGCGCAGTCACGGCTAGCACCGCCTCCTTGGCGCGAGGGGGGGCTCGACAGGAGGCCCGCTCGTCAAGACTTACAGCCAAGAACTGTTACTCAGCGTGTCGCGCCGCCGGCTGGCCCACCATTAGGGGAACAAAAAGTGACATGAACATAAAAACTCGGAGGTCCGCGCGGATTTCTCGGATCGGCGCTGGACCCCCCTCCCTGGCGCGCGGAGCGCGCCAGGGGCGGCGCCGGAGGCGCCGCCGGGGGCCCCCAGCGCCGATCCGAGAAATCCGCGCGGACCTCCGAGTTTTTATGTTCATGTCACTTTTTGTTCCCTTAACAACATCCCGAGTTTTTGTCAACGTCCCGAGTTTTTGTCAACGCCCCTAACAAGTCCCGAGGCATCAACGTCCCGAGTTTTTGTCCATCCCCCGGCCCCGCGGAGCGGAGCGGCACCCGATGAGCTTGCAGGGCACGGCGTGTCGCAGGGGCTGCCGTCGCGGCACGCTGAGCAGAGGTGCCCGGCCGGAAGCATGCGCGGCCAGCGCTGGCTCTGGTGTTGTTGCCACTAAGGTCTAAGTGAGGTCTACAACGACGCGAAGATCGGGACAAAATCGGATCGGGATAATTCGAAATCTCTGAGAATCGGCGGGTTTGGAGGATGTATTGGGCGCCGCGGCCGCTCCAGAGCGTTCCGGAACGCTCTGAGACCGCTCCAGAACGCTCTGGAGCGATTTATCCCGATCCTAGCCCTGTTTTGAGGTCCCGGCGAGTTGGTACAGGGTCCGGCTTGAATCAGGAACAGTTGCGTTTCAAGAGGGGCTCGGTCGTTCCTTTGGTTTGCATGCGTACCGCTAACTTCTTGGCGGCAAGCCCCCTCTGGTGTTCTTCCGAACTTCCCAGACTTACCTGGGAGAAAGTGGCTTCGTTCATGATTCATCGTTCCTTAGGTCAGGCCGAATACAGTAAGCGGCACGCTCTCTTTCCGCAGGGCGGCGAGAGATCTCTGGACAAGAAAAATCGTCAGGACCGCATCTGCTGTCGGACCTCGCGCCTATTGCTAAGTCGGGCATGTCCCTCTACAAAAGGAAAATTCAAAAACAGTCAAAAAATAGTCTGGGGACGATGTTGTTGTTGTATGTTTTATGTTTCGCCCAAAATCCCCCTGTAGGAGGACACGCCCGACTTAAGCATGTTGCGTTGTCTCGGCGAGATTCTCGTTTGTGGTTCGCCAGCTTCGGAATTCTGAGGCCGTAGAGATCACGGCAGTCGGCGCGACAAACATACGGCCAGATTCCGGAGCTTCTGGTTTGGATTGACTGTCGTTTGCGATGTTGCGCGTTGAATTGCGTGGTCAGGACGTCTTGACGGCTTCCCCAGGCGTTGTGTCCACTTAGCCACATGACGATCACAGAAGTGTGCCAGAGATTCCCACCCACATCAAGCAGTCGTTTGAGAGAGACCCCGCAAGAGGGTCGTAGCGGTTTCTTTGTGCCGTGTCGGGCGGGCGTGTCGGGGAGTATTCATTTTCTTGGGTGAGTTTCAGGGGCTTATGAACCTCACAGCTTTGGAAATTGCTTTGATCATCCAAACAATTGGAGCAAGTAGTAGTTTGAACGTTCGAGGTAAGTTTGCAACGTCTCTTCGGCACGTCGAGGCGACTCCGAAGTTCTGCGTGGGCGCTGTATTTTTTGTGCAAGCCCCGGGAGCTACACTCTGCGTCCGAGAGAGATATCTTATTAGCAGTTCCTTCGCATCAATTCGCAGCGGACCGCAGCCAGACAGGCAGCCACCGACGTTGCAGTATTCAACATGTGCGGCTGGTGCTATCAGTCAGACATTACGATCGGGCACCAACTCGGTTGTATTGCCACGTTTCATCTGGCAGAGCGTCACGAGCGTCATCTGATTGCAGGCTTGGTTCGCGAGGCCAGGCTAGTAGCTCCATCCTACGTCACTGTGGCTTGTCCAGTCAATCAGCGAAACATCGGGAGAAGGGGCTGCGGCAGCAAAAGGAGCGGGAGCGGGAGCAGGAGCAGGAGCGGGAGCGAGGATGAGGGCGATTGTTCGGCGACGAGCAAGATGGACCTTTGTGCCAGAGTGATTGTAGTGCGGGCCCACGGACAGGGGTCCTACCTGAACGGGCCGTCGAGCCTGGACTTGCCCTCCCCCCCTTGATCGGGCGAAGAGAATTATGCACGCGCACCGAGCTTGGCCAGGCCCACCTTGGGTCCAGGATCGGTGTATCTGCTTCCCTGGCCAAGCCAAGAGGGCGCATGCACCGATCCTGGGCTCGGGCTGGGCCTGGCCAGAATGGGGGCATGTGACTCGGTTTCTTGTTCGGGGAAGTGTAAGACTCGAGTACGACGGAACTCGGGTTTGACGACGCTTTTCGACGAGCGCGTCCTAGATATTGACGGCCCAGTTTCCGTGGGATGTTTGCAGCGGGAGCTCGTGCCAAAGTTCAGATTGGGTCGCGCCAGTTTCAAGACGGCCTTGTAAAGCCAACCCGAGTTGTACGAACTCGAGTCTTGCGTCTCCCCGATCCGTCCTCTGCCCTGCAGCCGCGCACCAACGGCCACTCGCGTGCAGGGCCACTCTCACGTCTTGCGTGCCGCAGACAGCCGGTCCCAGGAGGAGGAGGAGGAGGAGGAGGAGGAGGAGGAGGAGGAGCAGGCGGAGCAGGAGGAGGCGGAGGAGAGGCAGGCGGAGCCCTTGGGATGCGGGGCCCCGCCCCCCGGGTCAGGCCCAGGCGCGCCCTGGCCTGGAGGTGCGCCGCCGGCCCCTGCGGCCGCTGGGCGCCTTCCCTGCGGGGTGCCAGCTGTCCTTGGCTTAGCTGCCTCGATGCGCCCGTTTTGAGACGCAATGCGTACCGTGCTCAAAGCGTCCGCGTCAATACGTTGCGCATCGGCCCAGCGTTTGGCGAACGCGTCGCCTCAGGCCCACGTGTTCAGTCTGCGTGTAGTTCCGCGACGTGTCGCGTGTTGCGTATCAGGGCAGCTAAGGTCCCTGGCCTTCTCGGAGGACCCCGTCATCAGGCCGCCGCGGGCGGCGACGGCACGACGGCGGCGGCCACGGCGCGGCGATCGCGACGGCGTCGACGAGCGACATAGGCACGGCGGCACGACGGCGCCTTGGCGGCACGACGACGACGACGGCGGCACGAAGGCGAAGAAGAGGAGGAAGAGGAGGATCAGGCGAAAGGAAGAGAAAGGAGAAAGATGAGGAGGAGGAGGAGAAGAATTTGGAGGAGGAGGAGAGGAGGAGGCGGGAGGAGGAGGAGGGAGGAATAGGAGGAGGAGGAGGAGGAGGAGGAGGAGGAGGAGGGTAACGCAGCAAGTTCGCGCTTCACGTATGGCCAACGACAAAAAGGAGGGGAGGAGGAGGAGGAGGAGGAGGAAGGGCGCGTCTGTCGGATTAAGAGGGAGGAGGAGGAGGAGGAGGAGGAAGGGCGCGTCTGTCGGATTAAGAGGGTGGGGCCCAGGAAAGGGGACACTCAATCTTTGTTGGGTTCGGCCCCGCCGCTGGGCGCTTCCCCTGACTGGCCCCGGGAGGCGCCCCAAAGTGAGCTACACGCGGCTGATGCGCTGACCCCACCTCCTCCCTCCTCCCTCGCTCCTACTCCTTCCGCCTCATCCTCCTCCTCCTCCTCCTCCTCCTCCTCCTCCTCCTCCTCCTCCTCCTCCTCCTCATGGGGAAGCCTGCGGCGGCACGTGGCTTTGTGTCTTGTCCTCATGACGGCTGTCGCTACAAGTGGAATTGGAAGCGGCACACGACATGCTGGCAGTGCGAAGGCCTTCTGCGTCCTGTCGGGGGCCAGCCTCCACCTCGTGATGCAGGGTCGTGGAGCCGTGGACCGCCCGCGTTACCTGGTACAGTGCAGCCAGGACACCCACCAAGCCCCTTCGTACGGCCGCCCCCAGGGCAGTGGGCTCCACCAGGGGCGGCAGCCACGGCGGCCACCCTCGGCGACGGCAGTGCCAACCCTTTCGCTCCTTCGACCGACCAGCTGTTCGAGGCCTTGCTGCGTCGCGCCCCGCAGCATGGCGAGCGCCTGGCAGCGCTCAAGAAGGAGTTCGAGGTCGCTCCGCCGCCAGCTGCCGCCGCCCCAGTCAAGCCCAGCCTTGAGCGCGAGCGAGAGGCACAGCGGCTGGCAGTGGCTGCGCGCAAGGCCGATGAGTCCCTTGCGAAGGCGATCGCTCACGAACAGGAGTGCACCGACTGGCTGGCACGGGCTCGGGCTGCTGTGGAGCAGGCTGCGCAAGATGCAGCGGACGCCAGGCTGGCCCATGAGCAGCAGTTGGAGCAGGACCTCCAGCGCCTCAAGAGTCGAGAAGGTGCTGCACCTGCTGCCGCTGCCGCCGACCCCAAGCCCAAGCTCAACCTGTCCAGCTTTCTCGACGAGGGCGACGAGCTCGGGCAATTGTTCGAGTTCGAGGACGGCGAGGCCTTCGACTTCGCCGATCTGGACCTGGCCAAGGAAGACATCGAGGCTTGGCAGAAGCACAAGATCTCGTTGGCACAGGAGATCAAGCAGGCGATCAGTGCTGCGATTGGCCCAGCAGCTGCTCAGCTGGGTGCTCGCAGACAGCAGTTCAAGGAGTTCAAGGCTCGCATGGCCTCCAAGCGTCGACGCGTGGGAGCTCAAGGCGAGGCAGCTGCTGAAGGTAAAGATCGTGGTGAGGAGCAGCCTGCAGGTGGAGACCAGCCTGCTGCCCCTGCCGCAGGCGAGGGTCAGGCAGCGCCTTCTGCTGGGCAGCGCGCCGCGGCCTCGGCAGCAGCCACTGCCGCCGCTGCTGCAGCAGCGCCTCCCTCGCAGCCCCAGGAGGCGGCGGCAGGTGAGGCTCCCCCGAAGGCGAAGGCTTCCCAGGAGCGAGTGCAGCGGCTTCTGGCAGAAGCCAGGGGCAACCCGCCCTCGTCGGCGACCTTCGCTGACGCTGCTGTGGCTCCACAAAAATGCGGGTAGCACGATTCGTCTGTACCCGAAGCCGAGACAATCTCAAAATGCGGCACCAGAAGTTCGGCGATTGCTACTGCATAATCTTTCCATGTGGGGGCACAAGGCCACCAAGCTTTTTGCAGAGAGTGATGTTGATATCATCATCATGCCCGAGACGCACGTGCTGGCATGCGACACTCAGGATATTTTGAGCACGCTGAAGCAGCACAAATGGCAAGGTATTGTTTCTCCAGCATACCCCACGACCTACGTGGAGAAGGCAGGTGGCATTGTTCTGGGTATCCGTCAGCATCTCTGTTGGTCTTCTTTTCGCCACTTGTCGGACGACCCTGACAACGCGATCGGCTTAGTTGACGTCAGCAGCAAGCAGAAGTTATCGGGGCCCTTGTCCTTCAAGGATGCGGTGGCGGTCGAGTGGAAGATCGCCAGAGTCCCGCTGCTAGTGATAGGCGCTTATTTGACTGTCTCAGTGGGGTTGGAAGCACCCATCAATGTCGCAAAGTTTCTCACTATATCGGCGCTGTTGGACAATCATGCTGGGCCTTGGATCATCATGGGGGATTTCAACGCTACTCCCCTGGAGATGGCCACTTGGATTCGTAAGTGGAATGGACAATTTTACCACCCACCTGGCATCACCCACACGTCCACGAGGGGCAAGGGGCAGCGAATTATCGACTATGCTGTGGCCTCTCAGGATTTTTCTACGCTTTTTTCATGATGCGATTCAGCTGGATGCTGAGGGTGGTGACCACTACGGCATGATTTTGGAGTTGAATGTTTCTGCACAACAGTCTGCACGTCGAGTCTTGGACTTACCGAAGATGTTCTTACCTCCGCTGCCCACCAAGTTAAAGGCTGACCCCAACAGCAAACGGTCGAGGAAGAAATTGGAGTTGGAACGGCGACGGCAGCAGCGAGCTCTGGACCACCCGGAGGATCTCGATCAAGAACTTCCTGAACCCGAGTCTGAAGACGAGGAGCTCTTGGCGCAACCTCAGCAGGCCAGCACGTGCACGAAATACCCAGAGGAGGCGCGCAAGTTTCTGCGTCGAGATTTTTTCGACTTCGGCTCCGAGGCGCTTCAGCAGATGTGGCAGTCGCATATTTATGACCACAAGGCTTCCGAGGTCAAGCCTGTAGCACAGGACTGCCACCCAGCCAAGTATTTAGAGTGGATGGTTGAAGATCTGGATAAGCTTTGGACCACCATTGACAACAACACTCTCCAGCACCGTGAGTGGACCCTACCGCCAGATTGGATACAAGACAGCCTCTCGTATAAGTATGATCCCGATACTGCCGTCGAGCTGGGATCAGACTACGGAAGATTTACGTCAGTTTTTGAGAATTTTCTGTGTCGTGTACTTGAGGTACCACCAGATCGAGCTTGGCATTACAAAGGTCGTGGAGTTGCGAGGGAATTTAAAACTTTGCCGATTTCAACACCCGCGCCAACAAGAGCGCATTCAGATATGTCAATCAAGTGGTGGCTGCAGGTTTCTGGTTGGATTCAGGAGCTTATTCGAGTCTCTGCCAGTGGAACCCAGCAGCACGTCGAGGAGTTCTCTACTGCAGCAGGTGGCGACCCCTCCCCTCCTCCCCTCGTTTTGCTCAGCCCAGTTTCGGAAAAACAAGTCAGGAAAGCATCGAGAACAGACTTCTTGGTGCATAGGTTGGCACAGGCCCCTGCTGACATGCCACTTTCAGGTTTCGGCCAGGTAATAGGTAGAGATCGGCAGGACTGGGCCAGTACACTTCTTAACATTCACAATCGACCAAGAGCAGCTCTCATTATGATGGGCGCATCAGCGGATAAGATCGCAGCAGCTCTGGAGCGTAAGGCGGCCAAGGAGAGTTACAGCGCTTTTCAATCGTGGATTCGAGATTCATTTGCGCAAGGCTGTGGGAAGTTGCATCGGCACGTGAAGCCCAAGACGCGCGTTGAGACAGAGTACCGCGACCTGAAAGGAAGTTCCACGAGCCTCAAGGAGATTTTGGTCCAGAAGAGTCAGCTTTGGCAACGCGAGTGGGCATCCAAAATTCTGTCAGTGCAAAAGCTTTTTCAACTCCTTCGACGGGCTCACGCTAAGGCAGCAGCACAACCTTGGCCAGCTCTGGAGCCTGAGCAGATCGCCATCACCGTCAAGCAGATTAACTCCAGCAAGGCGGCAGGCATCGAGCAGTTGGGCGGTACCCTCAAGTATTTACCTCCAGCTGGCATTGCTCACTTGACGGGGTTTTTGAATGAATGCGAACGACGAGGAGGCTGGCCTTGGCAGATTCAGACTGCCATTGTTGCTCTGTTGAGGAAAGGCGCTGACGCTGATCGTTCAAATGGTCTGATCCCAGATTTGATACGCTTGTGGAGTTCAGCTAGACAGGTTTTCCTTCTGAATGGGTCGAGCAGATGGCTGGCAAGTGGGACAATGCGATCAGAGGTTCTTCTTGCTTGCGTGTAGGACTTTTACGAGCCTTCTCTGACGAAGCCATCAGCATGGGGCCCAAGCACACCGTCTCGGCTAGCCTTCTGTGGGACATCGACAGCTTCTACGACTCGTTAGAGTACGAGCGCCTGTTCGAGCAGGGCTTGGCCCTGGATTTTCCGCCTTTGTTGTTGCTGATGGAAGGGCTGGCTCATCTCATAGTTAGAGTTTTTCGGGAAGCAGGGTGCTATTCGCCACCAGTCCAGGCCAACAAGTCCATCATCGCAGGAGCTCGTAGAGGGGTTGATTTTGGAAGATTTTATCTCTACAGCATCCTTGAAGCTGTGTACAACAAATACTCACCGTCGGTCAGCACGTCGTCTTGGGTAGATGATATCACTCAGTATGCGTACGGGTCCGTCAGGTTCCTCTCCCAGGCGCTCACCAAGGCTGGGGTTCTCTTGGGCAGGCTCTGCAACAAGGCGCACTTGAGTATCGCAAGCAAGAGCAAGAGCAAGATCATCGCAAAGGACATTGCGCGCAAGCTGGCACAGCACAACATTAAGATCACTGTAGCACAGAAAGCAGTCGATCTAGGCACCGACAGAGGCACGAACATGCGAGCACGACCTAAAGCAGCAGCACGTCGCAAAGCAGCATGGAAGCAAGTAGGCCGAGCTCGGAAGCTTATTGGAGCAGGCAGAACAGGCAGAGCAGCAGCACGTCGCGTGATACATCGAGGATGTTATGCAAAAGTTCAGTATGATGCAGCTGTATATGGTATGAGCCCTTCTGCAGTGCAGGCTTGGCGCAGAGCTATAGGAGGCACTTTCACGTTGTCGGTCCGTGGCCGGTGCCTCGACACTCTTTTGCAGCTGGAACTTGGAGATCAAGATCCAGCAATCTCGCAGGTTTTTAAGATGCTCGACAGCTGGATGGCCATTCTTGCGTCAGGAGCTGAAGCACGAGCGTTTGCAGCACGGGACTGGTCGCAGCACGTGGCTAAGGCTAGAGAGATTCCTAAGCATCGATGGCGCAGAATCACAGGCCCCACCAGAGCTGTAGTGAACACCCTTTTGGACATCAACTGGGACCCCATTGGACCTTGGCATTGGATTTCTGATCTTGGGAACGTCTATCAGGCTACTCCAGAGGTCCTTGAAGCAGGTCCACTAGATCTAGATGATATCCGCCAAGACCTAGCCGATTCAGTTCGTCGGGTTCGTTGGAAGCGAGCAGCAAAGCATTATGAGAGCGCTGATGTTGCTAACGGAGTAGACCTAACTGATGTACGACAGCAGCTACGACGAGCTAGAGATAAAGACCAGCTTAAGTGGGCAGGAGCTTTAGTCAACGTGTGCTGTGGTGGTCAGTGGGCTAGAGAGAGAGAGTTCAAAGCATCATCAACCCGCCTGATTTTTCTGTTCTTTGTGATCGCTGTGATTGTGGACGACCAGAGTCTACCTTCCACCGAATTTGGGAATGTTCCGCGAACGACGCCTTGCCCTCGACCACCAGCATCGAGGCATATGTGCACCGTGCTCGCACCCAGGTGGATTCACAGCCTTCAGTGTGGCTTCGAGGCCTCACTCCTTCTTCGTGGACACAAGTTTCGCTGCCGCCCGACGAGGCTGACATTTTTGTGCACAGCCACGGCTTCTTTCCCGACGGCACAGACCTGATCATCGGTGCAGGTGATGCCTCGGGGGGTAAATACTCGGATCAGGCTAGATTCAGGAGAGTGTCTTGGGCTTATGTCGTCTTCGAGGAGTTCGATTTAGGAAACCCAGCTCCGCCCCTGGCCTTGTCAAGGGTTTCCTCGGGAGCCACATGGGGACCCCAGACCATCAACCACGGCGAGATGATAGCGCTCTTGAGGTTCCTGGAGGAGGCCCCTGTGGGCCGACCACTTGTCTTCGTCACGGACTCGTCGTATGTCCAGAAAAACGTCAATAAGGTCCTCTTGGATTTCTTCCCTACTGGATTTAGGAACGAGTGGCGTCGAATTCAGCGGCTTCTTCGAGAGAAGCCGACCGTTATCATCAAGATCGAGTCGCACATGACCCCCGAGCAGGCTGCAGAGAAAAAGGAGCTTGTCTTTGCTTGGGTTGGGAACAAGGCAGCTGATGAGTTGGCCGAGCACACGGCCAAGAACATACAGCTGCAGGCGGGGGAGGTGGAGGCGGTCCAGATTTCTGAGGCCCTGACGCGTGCTGTGAGAATTCGGGCTTGTGAAGTTTTCCTCTCGAGATTTTCGGAGGCCTCTGGAGACAATCCCCAGGCCCCTAGAGCTCGTAAGAAAGCCAAAGCCAAGCCGAAACCAGCCGTCCCTCCTCCTCCTCCTCGAGCCTTCAACCCTCGCCCCAAATTAGCCAAGCAGCTTAGGGAGTCGGCACACAATATGATTCCTGTAGGAGAGGGTCCTGATTCGAGGCTCTTTTGTAATTGTTGCTGTTCGGTCATTTCTGTTAACTCGCACGGCAATATTCCTTCCCAGGAGTTTCTGGCCTCCCCGTGTGTTCCTGCGAAACCCCGTTCAGGATTTGAGGGAGCGAAGTCTCTCCAGAATGTGTACATCGGTGCCAGGTATGTTGACCCGTCTCATGATATGGTCATGTCTGCCAAGGGTACTTACATATGGCTGACCTGCGGCTCACACGCCATAAGAGCGGGTCAGAATCTCTTCAAAGAATGCAAGAAGGCCACTTCGTCAGGGTCGGCCTATCTTGCCAAATTCACAAGAGGGGAAGTTTAGCTTCCCTACCTTTCTGCCTCCCTTAATCGAAGGGCAGGCTACCTCTCTTTTTAGACTGACCAATGGTCAACTGCGTGGTTCCTCCCTCCTCCCTCGCTCCTCCTCCTTCCGCCTCCTCCTCCTCCTCCTCCTCCCTCCTCCTCCCTTGCTGCGTCCGCCCCGGACGCTGGCCATGCCCGCCGCCAGGCGCAGCCCGGCCAGCACTGCTCGCTCAAGTCTAGAGGATGCGTGAACACAGCTCCATCGGTTGTCATCGCGAGCACAAGAACCCCTAACCTCGGCCACGCGCAGGGGGGGTGGGGGGGGGGGGGAGGGCTTCTTAGAAGCACCCCTGCTTCTTGGAAGGCGCGGGCCTTCTCTATAGGTGTAAGGCCGGCGCATTTAAGAAGCAGCCTCCTTCCAAGAAGCCCCCCCCTCCCCCTAATTATACCCCCTTGTGCGCGCCGCCAATAGCCCTAAGAACACGATGAAGACGTGGCCTCACTGAGGTCCCCATCTTTGCATCAGGGATAATCGGAGTGAGGGGGCCGAACGGTCATTCACTGTCCCTGGGTGCGTGGCTGAAGTGGTATTCCGCGATGCGGATTATTGTTGTGTTTGTTGTTGTTGTTGTTGTTGGTTTTGTTGTTGTTGGTGTTGTTGTTGCTGTTGTTGTTGCTGTTGTTATTGTTGGTGTTGGTGTTGTTGTTGGTGTTGTTGTTGTTGTTATTGTTGTTGTTATCGGTGTTGTGATGGTTGTTGCTGTTGTTAAGGTTGTGATTGTGGTTGTTGTTGTTGTTGTTGATGTTGCTGTTGCTGCTGCTGTTGTTGTTGCTGTTGTTGGTGGTGGTGTTGGTGGTGATGGTGTTGGTGTTGGTGTTGGTGTTGGTGTTGGTGTGGTTCTGGTTCTGGTTCTGGTTGGTTGGTCGGTTGGTTGGTCGGCTGTTGTTGTTTGGTGTCGTGCCCCCCGCGACCTGGCCCGCGACCCACGCGCGACCCACCCTACGACACGCCCGCGACCCGCCCGCTACCCACCCGCGACCTACCCGCGACCTGCCCGCGACCCACCCGCGACCCACCCCCGACCCACCCGCGACCCGGCCGGCGACCCACTCGCGACCCAGCCCGCGAGCCACCCGCGACCCACCCGCGACCCACCCCGCGACCCACCCCGCGACCCACCCACATTGCTTTCACGAAAATCGGCGCCTGCGGCGGGCTCGTTGCACAATTTGGAAAAATTAGGCGCCTGCGGCGGGCTGTTTCAGAGCCCCGTAGACTGCAGACGTCCCCGCCGCCCCCTCACTCTTATCCGCGACTGAGGGGTACTATCATAATTCTAGGCGGTTTGGCCTGATCCATCTATCCCTAATGTGCTTGGCCCTCCTAAATTAGGTCTCCTCCTAAAGGGTTAGGGTCCTTTTCTGGTTAGTCAGATTGGAAGACGATGCGTGGGCACACGGTTCCATAAGAGGTTCTGCGCCTCAAAAGCGGGGTTCGTGCAGATGGGGTTGGAGGCCGACGTCGCCGGTGCGTCGCCAATGCATCGCCGATGCACCGGCGACGCACCGGCGATGCATCGGCGATGCGGCGCGATCCCCCGACCCCCTGATGATGATGACGATAATGATGACGATAATGATGACGATGATGACGATGATGATGATGATGACGATGATGACGATGATGATGATGATGATGATGATGATGATGATGATGATGATGATGATGATGATGATGATGATGATGATGATGATGATGATGACGATAGTGATGGTGATGGTGATGGTGATGATGATGGTGATGGTGATAGTGATGATGATGATGATAATGATGATGATGCTGATGATGCTGATGATGATGATGATGGTGATGATGATGATGATGATGACGATGACGATGATGATGATGATGATGATGATGATGATGATGATGATGATGATGATAATGATGATGAATATGCTCGGACCCCATGTGGTAGGCCCCCAGGCGTATTCGATGTGCCGTGGAAAACGAGATCGCCTCGTCCGTCCCTCCTCCTCCTCCTCCTCCTCCTCCTCCTCCTCCTCCTCCTCCTCCTCCTCCGCTCCGCGCCGCCTCCTCGCCGCGAGGGGGGGCGGCGGCGCGGAGCGGGATCTCCGGGCACTGCCGGCGCCCCCCGCGGGAGGCTCAGCGTGCGGCCCACCACCGCCACGGGGCTCTCCCAGAGCCGGGGGCCCAGCCTGGGAGGAGGTGGCGCAGGGAGGCGAGGAGGCGAGGAGGAGGCTAGGAGGAGGAGGAGGCGAGTAGGAGGTACGCCCCGGCTTCGTGGCTCGAGTTCGCCCCAGGCAAAAGGAGGAGAAGGAGGAGGGGGAGGCCAAGAGGAGGAGCATGAGGAGGAGGCCAGGAGGAGCAGAAGGAGGCGGCCAGGAAGCGAGTCGAGGCGAGGAGTAGGAGGCGAGGCGAGGCGAGGCGATCGGGGTGCCAGTTCGTCCGATGCTGGCACACAGATCCGCCCCGAGACGCCCCGAGAAGCCAACCCATCCCTTCTCGGCACTGGTAGGTCGGGCGGGCGGGACATCATGTACATTTCGGTCGATGTTCGGATCTGGTAGAAAGGAAGCAACATCACTCGACGCGGAGATCTCCCCCCCCTCCCATCCCATCCCCTCCCTCCTCGCGGGGAGGGAGGGATCGAGGGAGGGGGAGCGAGGGAGGAATGAACGGGAGGCGGAGGAGAGGGGAGGGGAGAAGGGTGTGCGGGAGGAGAAGTGGGGAAACAACAAAACCAATTTATCGACGCGGAGATCACCACGTGTGCAGCCATCTCACTTCCTGGCACTCCCACCTGTGAGCGTCCGAGTGAGAGAGTCCCAGCCTGTGGCGACTGGACGCTCCCTGGCGGCTCCTTCTCGGGGTGCCCAAAGTGCGATGCCTGCTACATCGGGATGGCCCGGGGACTCTGACAGGGGATGGTCGGATGCGCCTAGACTTGGGTCGGGCATGTCCCTGTACAGGAGGAATACTCTCGAATAGTAAAAGAGAGTCTGGGAACGATGTTTCGATTATTGTCATGGCCTCCGGCCAGTGCCGCCGATCCGGGGGCCTCCGGGTGATCTTCGCGGGTCTGTGGCCTCCTCCCTCGATTCCTCCGGTCCTCTTTCATCTCCTCTGGGGAGGTGCCTGGAGCGGTCCCCAGGGGTGTCCGGGGAGGGTTCCGAGGGGAGGGTCCTCGGGGCGGTAGCGGCTAGATCTGAGGGGGGTCCTTGGGACCCCCCGAAACAGTTTGGGGATGCGCAAATCATTAAGAAAACGCCAGATGGGGGACCCCCCCCTCCCCCCCTTCCCCCGGGGGGTTCTGGATGCGCAAATCATGAAGGAAACGCCAGATGGAGGACCCCCCTCCCCTTCCTCTCTTCCCCGGCAGAGCCACCCCGGCGACCCCCCCCAAGCAAAGCTGAAGCTCTTGCTTAGGCTCAGATCTGAAGCTCTTGCCGAGGCTCCTTGTAGTTCACACGCCGGACCGGCGGATTGTTGATTATGTTTGAATATGTTTGAACTATGTTCATTTTTTGTTCAAAATCCGCCTGTTGGAGGACATGCCCGACCTAAGCCTAAACCAAGGCTTCGCATGAGATGTCCCACGATCTGGGCGCGAACTGGCAAGCACAACAACCCTCAGGCCATGCGCCATGCCTGCCACATGCGGCGATCATGGGACTTTCAGACGAGAGGAGTTCGAGGCGCCGAGCCAGGCGAACCGCTTGAGACATCCCCCCGCACGACTGGGCCCTGGCGGCCACGCCTTGGAATGCCCATTTGCCACGCCTGCTCTGATGCGGGGATCATGGGGCTCTCAAGAGCGGGGAGTCCAAGGCGCGGACACAGACGAACCCCCTGAGACATCCCCCCAATCTGGGCGCGAACGGGCAGGTGTCCCGTGTCCCCCTCCCTGGCGGCTCTTCCTTCAGGCGCCCAAATGCCACGTTTGCCGTGTCGTTGTGATCATGGGATTTGCACGAGAAAGGAGCCTGAGCCACCAAACGGGCGAACCGCTTGAGGCATCCCCACAATCTGGCCGCGAGCGGGGAAGTGTCCCCCTCACTGGTGGCTCCTCCACGGGGTGCCCAAATGCCACGCCTGCTATGTATGGTGTGACCATGGGGGCTTTCAAACGAGAGGGGCCAAAGAGCGGAGTCTGAGCCGCCAAACGAGCAAACCGCTAGGGACATCCCCACAATTTGGCCGCAAACGGGCAAGTGTCCCCTTCCCTGGCGGCTCCTCTATGGGGTGCCCAAATGCCGCGCGTGCTATGTCTGGTGTGAGATTGTCTGGGCATGGACGAGTCTGAGTGAGACTGAATATGTGTGGGCGTGCTCTGAGCAGGAGTGGATAGTATGACTGTGAGGCTGTGTCGGTCTGCGTGTGGGTGACTCTGTGCGCGCGAACCTGAGCATAATTGCGTCTGGGTGTGAGCGAATCCGGGTATGACTAAGTTGAGTAATGGGGCATGGTGCATCTGCGTTTGAGTAGATCCTATGTGAGTGAGTTTGTGTGTGAATCATTTTACGTTGGTGGGGCGGGTTCCAAGCCGGGAGAAGGGAGGAGGCGGGAGGCGAAGAGAAATGGGACGAGGCGGAGGAGGAAGAGGAGGAGGCGGAGGAAGGGAATGGCCGAATGTGTCACATTGATACCCACTCGACGCGGAGGGCTCCATATGTACATGTTCTTTTTTCTTGGAAAGTCGGACAGTCCCGTTGTGCGTGTCTGGATGTGGGAACGAGCCCAAGATGACGACGGGCACAACGACAACAACGACGACGACGGCGGCGGCGGCGGCGACGATGACGGACAGCGGCGGCCACGACAACTACTCACACGCAGGCGGTGAGCGGGTCCCTCCCCTCTCCCTCCTCGTCGTCCCCCCCCTGTTCTTCCTCCTTCCTCCCCTGTCCTCTCTCATCGTCCCTGGCGATCTTCGTTATCCCTCATATTGTGTCCTTATCATTCCTTTTCCTCCTCCTCCGCCTCCTCCTCCTCCTCTCCCTCCTCCCCCTCCTCCTCCTCTCTCCTCCTCCTCCATCCTCCTCTCCTCATCCCTCTCTCCTTCCTCCTTTTCCTCCTCCTCCTCTCCTCCTCTTCCTCCTCCTCCTCCTCCTCCTCCTCCTCCTCCTCCTCCTCCTCCTCCTCCTCCTCCTCCCATTCCTCCTCCCATTCCTCCTCCTCCTCCTCCTCCTTGTCCTTCTCCTCCTAGTCGCCGTTGGAGGCCCAGGCAATTGGAGTTCCGACGGAGTGAGGACTTTCATAGAAATGCACCTCGCACGACTTCCTCCCCATATATTATCCAATCCCGGTCGGGCGGGCGACAGGGAGCAGTGGGGAGGAGCAACGGAAAGGAGGAACAATCTTTGCAGCCACTCCGATACCCTACGTTTTGAGACACCTTCTCGCGCAACCGGGTCGTCAGCTGGTGGCGGCATATTTCTTGTGCCGCAATTTTCTGCATGTTGATGAAGGATTGGAATGTGACTTTGAACAACAAAAACAAACACGGGCACAGAAAAAGGAAACAAGAAACAAAAACAACAACGACAAGCCAAAGACGCAGAGAACGGATCTGCCGTACCCATGCTCAGAAATGCGAGATTGCCAGGATTGCCATGTGCGAACAAGTTGTTGATCAAGTGCCGTCGCTGGACAGCAGTTACCAGAGGGAAGATGGAGGCCCCAGTGTTCGAAGGCAACCAGGGGGTTGCCAATGAAGAACCTCGAAAACCCACCAACGACTCAGAGCTTTTGGAACAGCTGCACCAGGAGTCTGGACTTGAAGCAGATGAGGAGTCAAAGGAGCAGATCAAGATGTTTGTGGAAAAGATGGCACTGGAGATAGAAGATCAATTTCGTCAATGGAACCCATTGGCCCAGCTCTGCATGCATTTGCCCGTCGGCGAGATAAGTTGAACGACGAAAGCCAGAGGGAAGATGGAGGCCTCGAGGTTGGGAGGCTATTGGCTTTCGCCAATGATGAACCTCGAAAGCCCATGGCCGTTCTGTTGGAGGACAACAGTCAGGCGACAAAGAGGGAAGATGGAGGCCTCGAGGTTCGGAGGTCATTGGTTTCTGCCGATGATGGACCTCGAAAACCCATGGACCCCCGCGGCGAGATGGACGAGAAGGAGGTCTGGAAAGATGGAGGCCAACCCAAATGTCTGGAAAGGTTCTCCCAGGAGATCGACTCGTTGTTTCGCCGCCGGAGAGCCGAGGTCTGGGATGGCGGAGGCCCCGAGGTTCAGAGGCCACCAATTGGTGCCGATGAAGAACTTGGAATCCCATGTTCCTCAATGATGACCCGGATATCAAAACGATTCTGAGATTCTTCAGTCATGCAGCGACCAACGAAGGAATCACGAAGAGCGTGTTGCAAACAGTGTGCACGGAAGAGGGGCTGTCCATTGGAGAATGCGTTGAAGTACTAGAGTTTCTCTTCGCAGAGGGACTGCGCAGGTTCGGATGAAGTGGAGAATGATTAGGAAGCTGCGGCAAAGGGACTGGCAAAATTTCCCAGCGGGGGGGGCCCTCTGGCCTATGAAGGGCTTGTCATAGAAGAGAGGACACGGAAGCGCAACGGACGACTTGCGGGCGGCATCTCTGACATTCTTTGGAACAAGATTGGCAATTTTTCTCTGCGGGCGAATTACGGCGCCAATTGGCTGCCAGCGGCGCATTTCGCACTCCGCCAGAACCGGGATCCGCTTTTTTCGGGATGGGAAAGCATTGGAGTTATTGCCAGAGTGGGAGACAAATACACAACTGCTACCTTGTGGAGATTACGCTCTTCCAGAATGGGAAAGCACACAGGATGTCAGCCTTCTGCACGTGCCGCGTATATCCCAGATGCTCTGGGATCAGCGTGACCTTACAGAGGACGGAAAGAGCGGAAGTCGAGCATGTTTGAGCGCGTTTGGCGCGGGAAGCGGAATCTGAGCGCGTTCGGCGCGGGAAGCACTTGTCTCGGCGTAGTGAGTAGAGACCACGAGCGAGGACATCTCGGAGTGCTGGAGCTTCTGTGGAGGAGGGGTGGAGCGAGGGGGGCGTCTCGGAGTGCAGGAGGTCTGGCTCGCAACCTAAAAGAGGAATCAGGGACCCACCCTACTCGGGAACCCTTTTCGCCAGCGCGCCCCCCAGAGTGGGCACGCGAAAAGGCCGACAGTTGTTCCCTTCGCACTGAC